AGTAGCCTATTTAAGGCCGCCGCCGTTTTGCGGAAGTTCGGTATGAACTTCCGGTAGTAATTAAGGAACCCAAGCACCGCCCTTAGCGTGCTCCGGTCCTTCGGCTGCGGGACTCGGTCTAGGACCTCCACCTTCGCTTGCTGAATTCCCAGCTGCCCTCCTTGAACCTCAAACCCCAGGTACTTCACTCCGGTGTTCCCGAAACTGCACTTCTTTGGATGGCAGGTGAGTCCGGCCCCTCGAATAGCGTCTAGCGTAGCCTTCATGTCCTTCACGTGCTGCTCCGCGTCTGGGCTGAAGATCACTACGTCGTCAATGTAGCATGCTGCTGCCGACACTCCTCGGAGTATGGTCTCCATGATCCGCTGGAACAGAGCCGGCGCATTCTTCACTTCGAATGGCATAAACCGCCATTCGTACAGGCAATCCGGCCCATGGAACGCTGTTTTCTTGCGGTCAGCCACCCGTATAGGGATCTGATTGAATCTCTGGCTCAAGTCCAGGGTGGAGAACATCTTCGCCCCCTGCAGCTTATCAAAAATCTCTTCCGCTGACTGCATGGGGTATCGGTCAGCCACCGTGACCTTATTCAAGCTCTTGAAATCCCCGCACATCCTCCTCGCGGACACGGCCCCAGTGAGATCTTTCCTGGAAGCCACGACCGTCGCTGCGGCATAGTCGCTCTCTGATCGCTGAATCAGCCCTGCTTCCAGCAACTCGTTGCATTTCTCCGTGCAGATCTCTAGGTCTCCTGGGCTCATCCGCCGTTTCCGCTGGTATATCGGGACATCCGTGGTGAGCTCGATCTTCATTTTGTGCGTCGTGCACTTCCCCAGCTCCTGCAGGGTGTACGCGAAAGTTCCGCGGTGTTGCTTCAGCACCTCTTCCAAAGCTGCCGTTGATACCAGGTCCATCCCTCCTCCGAACACCCAATCCTCCACTAGCCCTTGGTCTCCCTGTGCTGCCTTCTCCCCCTCGGTTTCCGCATCTCCTCCGTTCTCTCCTTCCATCCTTTCCATAGCCATGTACGCCGCCCATCCTTCATCTATCCTCTCCTCGTATCGCTCCTCTATCCTAGCCAGCGTTTTCCTGTGCCATTCCGCTGAGTCCCGGTCTCGGTTTTGCTTGCTAAACGTGATGTCCCTCTGTAGTGCCTTCGACTTTAGGTGCATCCGCATGGTATCCAGCAGCCATGTCATCACGTTCGCGTCCATGGCACGGCCCAGAGCGGCGCGTCTCTGCTACTCCGTCACCTCGGGGTGTGCGGTGGCTCCCCACAGGTGTCCCATGGCTGCTTCACGCTCGTTCGCCGTCGGCTGTTCCCAGATTCCCCTCCGCACGTCATAGATCATCCCGGGTCCTGGCAGATCCCCCTCCATGACAAACCCGCGGGCTTCCGCGTAAGACACTAACGTGAGCAGTGCCTGCCGGGGTTTGCACGGCTCGTTGCACTCGTACTGCGTGGGGTGGTCCGGGCTAGTCACGGGCGCAGGCAGGCGGTTCGGCTCCAAGATGTCACTCACTAGGCGTGGTTCTGGTAGTTGCATCAACGCCAGCGAATGCCGTAACACTGCCGTAGAGAGCACGTTATGCCAGTACCTCCGTAGTCTGTGTGCGCGTGAACCCAGCTGTGCCGCGTCAACAGGTACTCCTCTCCCCAGAACCCCCGCTATCTCTTCGAAAGCCCGTTTCACCGGTTCTCTCCGATCCTCGGCCAAGTCCACGTTCTCCAAGACGAAAGCGACCTCCCCTTGGCGCTGCTGAATCATCTCCAACACTCGTCTGAGGTCACGGAACGACGCGCCCCTCACATCTTCCATCCCCAGCCCTTCCCCGGCTATGGAGTACCCTTGGCATTCCCATCCCGCGATGACCAGGTCCACTTGCCCCCAGTCCTCTAGCACCCGCTCGGAAATCTCCCTGACGTCGTGTATTTCTGGCTCGTCTTCTTGCGGAATAGCGTCTTCCCACATCTGATCCGAGTACTCGTCTCTTAGCAACATGTCATGGTGCCGAGCCATCTTCCTCACCACTGGATCGCGCTCTATGTGGATCCACCGCTTGATCGTGCACCCCGCCCTTAACGCTGCGGCCAAGCCGGTCCCGATCCCCCCATATAGCTCCAGTATCCGGATGGGCCCGTCTAGTGCCCATACTCGACTGACACTTTCCGCCAGGTCTGGTGCGCCCCGCCCCAGAGTCCGATCTTCCACCCGTCGTTCGTACTCATCCCCGTACCTCTCCCAATGCAATTCCTCCAGCTCCTCGGTCAAGTCCTGCTTCTGGGCCTAGTACGCCTCCCACGGCTCCTGCCGAACGAATCGCACTGGCAATGTGCCCACTGAACTCTCCGGGTCCCAGTACTGCGCCCGGAACAGCACCTTCTCCTGCCAGGTGCAGATTGTGGCTCCCACACGAGGAGTTCCATCTCAACGAGGACGTCATAGTCTTCGGATTCCGAGACTGCGCACTGCAACCGGATACAACACTCCTTCTCCATCCCTAGTAAAAGGACCACTTCCACTAGCCGCCTCGTTTTCGGCATCCACTTGGGTTCTCCGCCCTCCGCGGTCATGAGTAGAATCCCTCTCTCAAGGGTTCGTCCGACCACGTCTAGTTTCGGCTGCTTGGCGAGTCCCTTTCCTATCAAGACGTGGTGCGCGCCGATGTGAATGATGGCTTGCTTCACGAGTAGGCCTCCCACCGTAAGGCTGGCTTTCTCCGCGATTAGCACTGACGCTCGACAGACCAGTCGCTCATTCGGATGCCTCCGCATGCCCGGAGGTCTCGTCTCTTCCGCCTGACTAGGCCGTGGGCGGATCCCGCTCGTCACTCCGCTATCCTGAGACTGGCTAGGCCTTGGTCGGAGTCGGATGTCATCTCACGCTCGTGGGTATGCCATTACCGCGTATTCCCGCTGGTAGTCCTCCTCTCCCTCCCCTTCGGCCTTGTCAATCTCTTCGTACGCCAGCAGCGCTCGCGCTTTCACTTCCTTCGATTGGGGTGATTGCTCCAGCCGCAATTGGAGACGTCGGACTTCAGCTTGGAGCTCCTCCCTGGTGGCTCCCAGCGATTCTCTCGGCCGACTGTAGCATTCCTCTTTCCAATGTCCCCGCTTCCCGCACTGCTCACAGGTCGGCGCCTTGGGGCAGTCGCGCTTCAGATGCCCAAGCTCTCTGCAAGTGTGACACAGCCGAGGGTCTGTCCGGGTGCCGTTACTCGGGGGGGTCTCTGGTACTGCCGCGGCGGCCCAGCTCGTCCTCGCGCGACCCTTTCCATCAGAATCGTCCAGATCCAGCAAACGTTGGGCGTGTTCCGTCCTCTTCGTCAGCAGGTATATTTCCTTAAGAGTGATGTCTGCGCCCACACTGAAAACAATGCTCCGCACCACTCCCCTTAGCTCTTCTTCCAGCCCTCCCACGAACTTCCGCACGAGCAGGCGTTCGTCCTTGCTTTCGAGATGTTCCACAAGTTCCCGGAGCCGACAGTAGTAGGCCAGCAACGACTCATCTCTCTTCCTCCGGAATTCGCGAAACTCTTTCACGCGGGCCTTGGACTTTCCGGCGAACTCCTTTCGCAGCAGTTGAAGGAACCGTGCCGTAGGGTTGGAGATTTCTCCCTCCGCCAGTTCTTCCAGGACTTCGTCGCGAGTCATGCGGTAGAACGTCTCCGCTTCTCTCGCCAAGGTTCCCACCATTTTGCGGAAGAATTCGGCTGGGTCGAATCCGTCGCGCTCCCAGCAGTACTGCACGGTTTCGAGCTGCATAAGGTAGTTCTTCAGACTCGGCCCTACCCTGGGAATGCCCGTGTACCGTTCTGCTACCTCCACCTTCGGCAGGTTCGTCGCTTTCCAACGTACTCCTTGGCCTTCGGGTGCTTCATACGTGTCCCCCGGTACCTCGGTGACTCCGTTGTACACCAGAGTCCCTTTCCGCAGTGGCTCCTCCGTCCGGTTGTCGGTATGTACTCCGCGCATGACGGGTTCTTCCCTCTTTGCCGCCATACCCGGCTTCCCGCTCTACGGAGTCGGGTCCTCCTGGTTCCTCCACCGCGCTTGTACACGTTCGGTCCATCGAGAGTCGTGAGGCGTATCTCCTGGGTCCGAGCGGGCGGTTCGCTCTGGGTTCATGTTATCTCCTGCCGCGCGAGCTCGTTGCTGAGGCGTCCGGTATTTGAAAGACCCGGTTCCCACGGGCGCCGTACCTATAGGTTCTCTCGCAGCAGCAACGTCGGCACGCCACCCTGCTGTAGGCTTAGGTTCGCCAGCGTCGTCCCACATACGAGTCCATACTAGATCTCGACTGTTTATCAAGTATCCTTGCGTGATTGTTGAAAAGTCTCCTGTCCGAGCCCAAGGGGTCTTCAAACCCTAACTTGGCTGACAAGACCACGGGAGAATTGGTTAGTGACAGCTTGCGAATGTTGGTTCCTCGTGCTTAGTCCAGTTTAGGAAACGTAGAGAATTATAAGCATAAGTGTGGAAACAATCACGCAAGCATCTCACTGAGCTTGTCTACTCTCTTAAGTACTAGCTGCGGGTTACCGTTGTGTCAACGGTCTCTCTTCGCCTACCACTTCTCGCCCGCCGATTTCTGGTTTGCGTTGGTTTGGTTCGGCTTTTGCCCTATCTTGCCTATATCCTATCTACAACCTTCTCCATTTCTATTATCTGTCTCGAGTGTATATCTAAGGTACCTACGCCGAGATTACAATCGTGACACTTTCAAGAATTCTGAAGTCAATCCAAGATGAATCAGTGCCATCGCCAACGCACCCTCACATCTCCCACCACTCACAACGAAGCACCTGTAGACGAGGGTGCTTTCCAATACTGCAGCTCCCACCCCTGGTACCTCTGCAACTATAGGGTAACTCGAGGAATGCCACTACCACACACAGGGTAACTCACGGGATGCCTGCGGAAGCAAGGGGGTAACTCACGGGATGCTTGTGCAAGCAAGGGGGTAACTTACGAAATGCCCTCTGTGACCACAGGGTACTCACGGGATGCGCACGGCGAAGAAGCGCCAGGAGACGAGGGCGAAGGCGAGCGTGCAAAGGGGGTTGACGAGCAGCAGCTGCGTGGCTATGCTCCACATGAACCACCCCGTGTAGCCTGGATGCCGCACCCACCTGCCATGGAACCATGGGGAACATGGGCACATGAAATGAGCACAAGGGCATGTTGGGGACACAGGCGGGGTTAGAAGCGCATGGGATCGCATGTGGGCATGTGAACATGAGCAGCAGCTGCGTGGCTGTGCTCCAGATGAACCACCCCGTATTGCCCGGATGGCGCACCCACCTGCCATGGGCATGTGGGGGACATGGGTAGAGGGCATGGGATTGTCGCATTTGAGAATTTCCTAAAGCAGCTTTGCTCCACGCGAAGCACCCTGTGTAGCGCGAATGGCGCACCCACCTGCCATGGGCATGTGGCATGTGGGGAACATGGACATGGCTAGATGGGGACATGAGCATGTGGGGAGGGCAAAGGCGGAGTGGTCACATCCAGCAGCTGTGTGCCAATGCTCCAAGCGAACCACGCCGTGTTGCATGGGGAAGACGGGTAGAGGGCATGGGATGGTCACACATGCATGCAGTGCTGGCGGTGCAGTCAGAGGAGCCACAGTGACACGCCCATGCAAGCAGGCATCTCAACACCCAGGCATGAGCTGAGCGGCTGAGCCCACATCCACATGAATACTCCAGCAAACTGGACGCGGCTGCGTGGCGACGCTGCTCCAGATGGAGCACCCCGTGTAGCCCGGATGGCGCACCCACCTAAAATGGGAATGTGGGGAACATGGGTAGCGCACGGGATGGCTGGATTTGAGAATTCTTAAAAGCAGCTGCGTGGCCATGGTCCTGATGAACCACCCTGTGCAGCCCGGATGGCGCACCCACCTGCCAGCCATGGGCATGTGGGGACATAGTCACATGAACACATGGGGAGGGCACAACGGTGGGCCCATGGGCATGTGGGGAACATGGTAACATGACATCCAGCACAGGCGGAGAGGTCATATGCAGCAGCTGCGTGGCGATGCTCGAGATGAACCACCCCGTGTACCCTGGGTGGCGCATCCACCTGCCACGGGACCATGGGCATGGAGGAGGGCATGGGGGAGGGCATGGGTAGCGCATGGGATAGTTGCGTTGCATCAACATCATGGCCCACAGGAATCACCCCATGTAGCCTGGATGGATGGCGCTATGGGACCGTGGCGAGCGCAATGGGTGGGTGGGTGGGCGCATGTGCAGGCACTGCAGGTGGGGGAGGGGAGAGCACAGCAACACGCTCATGCAAACAACACTGTGGCTGAAACACGCATATGAAGACCCAGCAAGTGCGAGATTCCTCCCAGTAGTTAAAACGGCTTCCTTCCGAGTCGAGTCTAGCCTGAGCTCCCATAAAGACCCCCAAGAACTCCGGCATTGGCGTTGGAACAAACAAGAGCACCCGCCCAGCTGTCACCTGTACTGCGACCTGCCACCTGTACTGCCAGCTGTCATCTGTACTGCCAGCTGTCATCTGTACTGCCAGCTGTCATCTGTACTGCCAGCTGTCATCTGTACTGCCAGCTGTCATCTGTACTGCCAGCTGTCATCTGTACTGCCAGCTGTCATCTGTCCTGCCAGCTGTTGTCTGAACTTCCCGTGTGTCACGAGGCATTGGCTGCGCCACTTGTGCGTCTGGGCCGACACATCAGCACACACACGCATTACTGGCCACTCAATCACCCAATCACCCCGCCAGCGCCCACCTGTACAGCCGGTGCTCACGCCTCTTCTCCGTCTGAATGCGGTGTGGGAAGCCCCGCCCTGCCGTCACCGTCGCTGCCTTTGTTCCCACCACAGGAAGGCATTCACCAGAACACACAAGAGACATAGTCGGCACAAACCAGCGCCCACCTGTACAGCCCGTGAGTGACCAATCGGTGCTCGCGCCTCTTCTCCGTCTGAATATCATGAGTGAAGCTCCGCCCCGCCGTCACCATGGCTGCCTTGCGCACCACTTCCCCCGCCACCACCAGCGCCCCCCCCACCCACGCCACGGGCCACAGGCGGCGCTTGAAGGCTGGGAAGAGGGCGGTCTCGAGGGCGTATTCAGTGAGCGCTGCTGCCATGGCGAGCAGATACTCCCGCGAGAATAGGAAGGCTGCATGGCTAGCGGGGGTGGGGTGCGGGATGGGAGTGGGGGAAGAGGTGTGTGGGGAGGGAGGAAAAACGAAATTCTATGTGGCCGTAACCACTAACACCACCCCCCACCCCGCCACCACCAGCGCCCCTCCCACCCACACCACGGGCCACAGACGGCGCTTGTGGTGGTTTCGAGGGCGTGTTCAGTGAGCGCTGCTGACATGGCGAGGAGATACTCCCGCCGAGAAGAGAAGGCTGCATGGCTAGCTAGCGGGGTGGGGTGCGGTGGAGAGGGATGGGGTGTGGTGTGGGGAGAGGGAGGGAAAGCGAACACTGAACAGACACCACACAAGGATGGGAAGAAGGTGGCATCGAGAAAATACTCAGTGCGTGCTGCTGCCATGGCGAGGAGATGCTTCCGCGAAAAGAGGAAGGCTGCATGGCTAGCGGGAGGTGGGGAGTGGTGGATTGGGATGGGAGTGGGGGGAGAGTGTGTGGGGAGGGAGGGAAAGCAAAATCTGAACAGACCGCCAGCAGCAGCACCACCCCCACGACCAGCGGGGCTTCACAACAGCGCCGGGCCACAGAAAGGGCCACAGGCGGGATGGGTAAGGATGGAGGGATGGGAGAGTGGAGGCGCATTCAAGTATCAACACAGCGCCACCATCAGTGCCGCAATCAGCGGCGCAGTCACGCCCTTGCTAGAGACGCGGAGGAGAGAGGACTGCAAGCGAGACGAGACGGGAAGGCGAAGCGAGGCGAGGAGAAGGCGAGGCGAGGCGAGGCGAGGCGAGAGGAAGGCGGGAAGGCGAGGCGAGGCGAGGCGAGGCGAGGCGAGGGAAAGGCGAGGCGAGGCGAGGCGAGGCGAGGCAAGGGGAAGGCGAGGCGAGGCAAGGGGAAGGCGAGGCGAAGCGATGGAAAGGCGAGGCGAGGCGAGGCGAGGGGAATGCGATGCGAGGCGGCAAGGCGAGGGAAGGGGAGGCGAGGGGAAGGCGAGGCGAGGCGCGGCGGCGTACATCGGAGGTCGGGTTTGCCGGTGGACCAGAGCGCGAGGAGGAACTCGGAGGAATGGAAGAAGACGAGCGCCGCGAGGAACGCCGCCAGCATCGTGAAGAGTCCTCGTGCGATTGCTCGCTTGTTTCCCCCGAGGTTCTAACTATACTAGACGACACGATCGCTCGTTTGTTCCCTTCGATGATTTTGCTATTACAACTCGAATGTGACGCGACGCTTGCTTCACAGGCCCTTGAGACTTTTGAGACGCCTCAGAACTCGGAGGAGTGGAAGACGATGACCTCCGCTGCGAACGCCGGCAGCATCGTCACGACGCGTGATATCGGTCGCTTCTTTCTTTCAAGGTATCTACTACTACTACTCGTGTGATGCGCTGTGTGAGCAGGTTTGGCAATTCGACTTACTAAGACTAGATCGTCGGACTTGAACTTAACATGCGAGAAAGATAAATTATCAATAACTCATGAACAGGGCGGGTCATACAGTCCTTGCGACCTACGAACGAATCTCGCGAAACAATATTGGCGAAAGTCGTTCATAAGTTCAACACCCTCACCAAAAAGGTATGCCAAGAAACCGCTCTAAATCGCGCACCATCGTACTAAAACGTCTGTATTCCACCATTTTCCTCGGAGGACCTGCTCTGTGCTTCCAGTTCCCAGCACTACATTAGTTGACCAATCCAGCCTGAGGGTTTGTGGAACCGTATTGTAAAGTGAGATATCCAACCGAACCGCACTGTCTGAACAAACATCAGAAGAGCGTAGTGGTTCCCCTAGTGGAACAGCTCTAAGCTGTTAGTAGTTCTGAATGCTAAGCTTCAAGAGTCTAAATTAGCAAGGTTAGTAGCATGAATTCTGTAAATTTCAGAAAGCAAGAATGGCATACAAGGGATGAACAGCTACTCTTATACACACTTCTATGACTATGGCGCCTTGAGAAGGTCGTTCAGGCCGCCATTGATCCTATCTCTGCTGTCACCAGCAAGGAACGGAATATTTACAAGCAATTATGACAAGCCTATGCTCTATCCTAGCTGTTTATATAGGAACATACAAAATACAATCATGATATGGATCTAGAAATGTACTAGCTGACTTGGTCTTCGTCTTCATGATGATAATGCTTGAGTCTTGTAATGCTGGAAAGTAGTTGCCGTTGCATGCGTTGTCTTCTTGCCTCGTTGTCGTAATGCTCATCTGGTTTCTTCTCTCTGCTGCTTTGCTGGTTGGAGTTTCACATGTGCTTTGAGGAATCTCGAAGCGCACATTTCAGGTTGGGATTTCCAACCTCGAATTTGACATTTCAGGTTGGAGTTTTGGCGAAGGTTACAAGTTCGCTAGTGAGCGAACTTACCTGTGGCGAGTTCGCCTTCGCCCTGTAACATTACTCCCCCCTCCAAGGGGCACCGTCCTCGGTGCACCAGCAGATGCAAAGTAGGCAGAGGTAACTCGTTGTGCATGCTCTAAGTTCTTCTCTGGAATCCAGAGATTCTCTGCATCATCATGCTCATGCCACTTAACCAAGAAATATCTGCCACTAGGTGTTGTTTCGTGAGCAAGGATCTTCTCAACTTCAAACAAATCAGGGGTTGGAGTGAACATGGAAGGGCGAGATGGCTGAGAAGTAGGGAGGAAACGAGCTGGAGGATCATGATATGGGCGTAGTAGATGGACATGGAAGACTGGATGGATGTTGATGTGAGGAGGAAGTTTCAGACGGTATGTGAGTGGAGAGAGGACCTGTGTGATTGTGAAGGAACCAATGAAGCGAGGTGCGAGCTTGCGGGTGAGGCCTTGAGTGAGTAGGGGCAGATTTGTGGTTGAGAGAAGTACTCTGTCTCCTACGTGAAAGCGGATGTCACGTCGGTGCTGGTCTGCATAGTGAATCATGCGCTGCTGTGCCCTGGAGAGTGAGGTACGTGCTGCTGCTATGGCTTTCTCTCTATCCTTCAGAAATGCCGTTGCTGCAGTATCACGTTTGGGGCTGTGAACCAGTGAGGTAGGAGTGCGAGGGTTCTGTCCGGTAGCTAGGTAGAACGGGGTCTGTCCAGTAGCAAGGTTAACGGTGCTGTTGTAGGAGAACTCAATTTCTGGCAGGTGGTTGTCCCAATCGTCCTGGCGAGCATTGACACATGCACGCAAGCCATCTTCCAGAGTTCGATTCATTCTCTCGGTCTGCCCATCAGACTGAGGGTGGTAGGCAGTTGAGAGGCGAATCTTGGTACCCATCCTGTTGAAAAGGGCCTGCCAGAATCTGCCAACGAAACGGGAGTCACGTTCGGAGATAAGGACAGAGGGAATACCGTGAAGACGTACTATTTCTGTGAAAAAGCGTTCAGCAACGTCTTGGGAAGTAGCAGTGGTGCAAGTGGGAATGAAATGGGCCATCTTTGTGAGTTTGTCAACCACAGTGAGAATGGCGTTGTGATGGGCAGCAGTGAGAGGCAAATCAGTGATGAAATCAAGGGTGACATGGCTCCATGGTGTCTCTGGAATTTCCAGGGGATGTAGGAGGCCATAGGGAGGGGAATTGCGAGCTTTGTTGCACTGACAGGTATGGCAGCTGCGCACGTAGGAGCGGACATCACGGTAGATGTTAGGCCAGAAAAAGTTTGATGTGATTGCAGCCACGGTTTTGTCCACTCCGAAGTGTGAATTCTGGTCATGTTGCTCGCGTAGGAGGAGGAGACGGAGTTTACGGTCAGCGGGGACGCAGATAGCGTGAGAATCTGCTTTGTACCAGAAAGGAGGGTCAAAATAGTATGCTTTGTCGGAAGGGGCAGGAGAAGGAGGAGCTGAAGGGGCTTTTGAGGTTTGTTGAAGCAAGCAAGCGAAGAATTGAGCCTGAGGGTCTTTGGAAAGCTTCTTCAGTTGTCTCATAGAAATCACACTGCAGCTGGGTGAGGAAGAGGAGGAAGAGATGGTGGGAAGAGTGATTTCAGCTCCACTGTGCACGATGGATACTGTTCCAGCAGTCCAATCAATCCGTGGGTTCTTGGATGAAAGCCAATCACGTCCGAGGATTAGATGATGCTCTCCCAAAGGCACTTGCTGGAACTGGAGCTTGTCTTTGTATGAGCCCATGGTGCAGCTGATTGGGAAAGGGGTTGGGCCACACGTAATAGAAGCTCCGTTTGCCATCTGCACTGTTTGGGAATGGGAATCTTGCTGGATAGGAAGGGATAGTTCAGAGACAAGGTTTGATGAGATGAAGTTGGAAGAAGCTCCGCTATCAATCAGGGCCTTGAAGGTACGGTTTCGTATGCTTATGGAAAGGAGAAGAGGGTTGGATGGGATGGTGTTTTCAAGAGAAATGATGGAAGGGCTCTGCAGGTTGCCAGAAAGTCGCCCCAAGCTTACTGGCGGTGACTGTTTTTTGGTGTTGGAAGTAGCGGTGGTCGGCTGGAGCGTTCGTGGCAGAACCTCCACACATGGCCTTTCTTGCCACACTTGAAGCAGACGACATCGTTCTTCACAGGTTTCTTGCCCTTCTCCATCACGTCCAGGTCCATAGGAGCAGGTTCTTGCTGGTTGAATGTTGCTGAGGATGATGGCTGATGGGAGGGAACAAAAGGGAGAAACGGGCTGCGAGGAAATTGTGCCTTGTATGCGAAATGAACAGCGTCATACCGTTCAGCGACACGTATCATTTCCTCGAGCGTAGTGCAGTCCCTTAGCTCGACCTCCATGCGGACGTTGGATTTCAGGCCGCGCTTGAAGCGATCCATTTTTTCAGCAGTGGACAGGTCAGGTATCTCTTGTGCAACATCACGGAAGCGCGCCGCGTACTCCTGGACGGATTTGAGTTGCTTGAGGGCAGCCAAGCGATCACGAGCTTTGAGTTCCGGGTTCACTGGTTGAAAAGCAGCCGTGAAGAGTTGCTTAAACTGCTCCCATGACTGAACAGAGGTGTGGATGGACTGCCACCAAGTGATCGCGGAACCTCGAAGAAGCGTTCCCTTGAATGATGCCCACTCAGCAGGTGCAACGTGGCTCAACAGCAAGTACTGCTCGACAAGCAATAGCCATCGGCTCACAACTGGCTAAAACTTTCCTGGTGTGAAGAGATCTGGCATAGTGGGTCTAGCGCGCTGATTTCCATCTGAGGGTGCAGCAATATTCACACTTGCTGCCACCGAACCGGCTGCAGCTATACTGGCTCGAATCTCACCTTGCAAGCTCTCTCGAAGTTCAGAAACGATTTGGGCCCGGTAGTTCTGCAAAAAAATAGCCCAATCTTCAGAGGACGGAGGTCCTAAGTCAGACGTCATGACGTGGTCCTAGCAGGAAGTCGAAATCTAGCTCGGATACCAAATGGAACAGCTCTAAGTTGTTGGTAGTTCTGAATGCTAAGCTTCAAGAGTCTAAATTAGCAAGGTAGATTTAGTAGCATGAATTCTGTAAATTTCAGAAAGCAAGAATGGCATACAAGGGATGAACAGCTACTCTTATACACACTTCTATGACTATGGCGCATTGAGAAGGTCGTTCAGGCCGCCATTGATTCTATCTCTGCTGTCACCAGCAAGGAACGGAATATGTACAAGCAATTATGACAAGCCTATGCTCTATCCTAGCTGTTTATATAGGAACATACAAAATACAATCATAATATGGATCTAGAAAGGTACTAGCTGACTTGGTCTTCGTCTTCATGATGATAATGCTTGAGTCTTGTAATGCTGGAAAGTAGTTGCCGTTGCATGCGTTGTCTTCTTGCCTTGTTGTCGTAATGTTCATCTGGTTTCTTCTCTCTGCTGCTTTGCTGGTTGGAGTTTCACGTGTGCTTTGAGGAATCTCGAAGCGCACATTTCAGGTTGGGATTTCCAACCTCGAATTTGACATTTCAGGTTGGAGTTTTGGCGAAGGTTACAAGTTCGCTAGTGAGCGAACTTTCCTGTGGCGAGTTCGCCTTCGCCCTGTAACACCTAGTTCCCATCTTCAATTCCCTAGGCTTCTCCTTCCGTGCGCTCCCAAGTCCAGTCACACTTCCTCAAATGGTCGCGCTAGATGTGGTCGTCATTCCAAAGGCCAACAACGGAAGCCACACCGAGATTGGCTTTCCCGCCTCAAAGCTTTCCGCAGCCCTAG